GAGATCTGTTTTGGGCCACTTTGTAACTGTGTTTCAGGCTTGTGTTTGTTTAGTGTTTATGATTCAGTCCTAGGGGGAGGTAACACCTCGTGCCTCTTTCTAGGCTGAATGTACTACTTTTTTTTGAATTAATAAAACTACTCTCATTTATCAAAAAACTAAACTAGTCAGTTTTAAGTTAAAATACTAGAGGAGTTGAAGAAGACAAGAAAAGAATTCTCACGGAGTTAGAGGAGTTTGATATTAGAGAACAAAATGGGACCCTTGATGCTTTAAACAGAAATAGAAGAGCAGATTTGGGAAAGGAATGGGAACAGCTGGTCAGAAGAGAAGAAATTTACTGGAGACAAAGATCAAGAGTGAGATGGCTGAAAGAAGACAATAATTCCAGATTCTTTCACACTTATGCTTCGGGAAGGAGTAGGAAGAATTTCATCTCTAAGCTGAAACTGAACCAGAGGGAAGTGGAGAATCCTGAGGAAATTGTGGAAGACTTCCTTTCCTTCTTCAAAAACCTCTACTCCAAGGATAGTAATAACCAATTTACATTGAACAGATGGGAAGGCACAACTCTATCAGCTGAAAAGAGGGTTTGGTTATAAAGAAACTTTGAAGAGGAAGAAGTTAAAATGGCTGCCTTCAGCATGGATGGAGATAAGGCTCCAGGGCTGGATGGTTTCCCCATTTTTTTCTTTCAGCAATGTTGGGAAATAGTAAAGTCAGATCTCATGGATTTTTTCAGGGACTTCCACTCTTCTGCCATTGTTAACAAAGGCCTAAATTCAACCTTTCTTTGCCTCATCCCAAAGAAAGAGGGAGTCTTGGAAGTTAAAGACTTTAGACCAATAAGTTTGATAGGGAGCATCTATAAAATTTTGGCGAAGGTTTTGGCCAAAATACTTAAAGAAGTCCTAGAAGATCTAATTTCCCCAAACCAATTTGCTTTTGTAAAAGGGAGACAAATTGTGGACAGCATTCTAATTGCAAATGAGCGTGTGGAAAACAGAAAATCTTCTGGAAACCCGGGGGTCCTCGTGAAACTAGATCTGGAAAAGGCGTAGGATAAAGTGGATTGGGATTGTATTTTAGATTGCTTAAAGATGAGAGGCTTTGGTAGAAAATAGATCAGGTGGATTAAAGGTTGTATTGGTTCTTGGTTTTCAGTGTTGATAAATGGTGAAGCGAAAGGCTACTAGGGGTCTCAGACAAGGTTGCCCACTTTCCCCCTTTCTATTCACTTTGGTGATAGACATCTTTAACTATCTATTGGATAAGGCTATTCTCCTTAACTTGGTGAAAGGATTTGAAGTGAGAAGGGACAAGATTCACATTTCACATTTACAATTTGCTGATGACATAATTTTGTTCTTGGATGCCTCCATAACCAACATCACAAACACTAAAAGGATAATTGAATGTTTTGAACTTATCACTGGTTTGAGGGTTAACTTTTGCAAAAGTAGTATAGTAGCTCTTAACTCAATGGAAGTGGAACTCCTAGAAAGCTTCAAATCTTTGTTGGGGTGCAAAGAGGAGAATCTTCCTATTTCCAATCTTGGGATGCCTCTTGGAGGGAATCCAAAATTTCTCAACTTCTGGAGACCAGTGGTGGAGAAATGTGAG